TTATTATTATTATTATTATTATTATTATTATTGTGACAGAAATTAAGATTCAATAACTAAAGTATTTTATGTATGACATTTGCTTAACATAACAAAAGAATGTATCCGCTAATAAAGAATTGATAGGTGGGAAAAACGTATCCTATAAATGAGGAACTAAAATTTGCATAATTTTATTTATAGTTCAAAGTTACTGAACTCATCTAAATTTAAATGAGCCTGTGCTCCTGCTGCAGTCAAACTGGACCACAGACATATTTTCCACCTCTTGTCAGGGAAAAACCAGAACCAGCCTTACAGAAAAAGCCTGTCTGTCCTGACCAATCACAATGCACGTTTGGAACCACGTGATGTCACGCGAACGAGGCGGAGCTGATGTTACCGGAAGTAGAGGCGAAAGTCACCGGTAAAACATCACAGTGAGACGCGTAGAGAGCTCGTTTTTATTGTCCGAGTGTGAAAAACGTGTTAAATATGTTTAAATAAGAAGTTTTAGCTGTTAGTTGTGTTACTGAAGCCGCAGTAGTTTGTTACGGTGACAGCTAACTGACACATTTCTCCGTATTTTACTGACAAACAGCAGCAGCTTGTGTCCAGAAGACAGCTAACAGATGGCAAAGAGCCTCGGTCACTTCTCCAGCCTGGTGTCGTTCACAAAGACCCAGCTGAGCCGTCAGTGTGCCCGGCTTTTCTTCAGGACCAGCGTGAGGCGGACCGTCATGGTAGGTGGAACCCAGATATGTGTCATATGTGTGGGTCGGACATTCGGTCCTGAACTGCAGGAGAGCCAGCCGGCAGAAGACTGTGGTGTGCGCGCTAACAACAAGTATTACGGTAGGAACGCTTGCGAGTTAATTTCAAAATAAAAGCTGACATTTTGTAACCCATAAAAACAAATTTATTTTAAAAATTATATTTAAGTTGCTGTCTTTATTGCAACTAAACTGTTACCTTCCAAGAAACACTCTCACTTCAGGGTAACTGTACAACACCCACTGATCATCCTCAGCAACTTTGGGCAACATCTGATGTGGCATTTCAGAATAAAAGYCCYACAAACMWTSWKWATWMWSAWKGTTTGTRGGRCTTTTATTCTGAAATGCCACATCAGATGTTGCCCAAAGTTGCTGAGGATGATCAGTGGGTGTTGTACAGTTACCCTGAAGTGAGAGTGTTTCTTGGAAGGTAACAGTTTAGTTGCAATAAAGACAGCAACTTAAATATAATTTTTAATATAAATTTGTTTTTATGGGTTACAAAATGTCAGCTTTTATTTTGAAACTAACTCGCATGTGTTCCTACCGTAATACTTGTTGTTAATGTGCACAGCACAGTCTTCTGCAGGCTGGCTCTCCTGCAGTTGTCCTGAGTGGATCATCCTTTAGCTTGTTCTCATTGTTCCAGGAGTTTCCACTTCAGTTCCTCCACAGCTGGATCAAATACAAACAGTTGTACCTTTTTTAAAAATAAGATTAATCTTCAGCACTTATAATTACTTTATAATTAGATTTTAACAGACTTGGAACATCTAAGGCACTTTTCATTATTTGACCAGATAAAGCTCTACATTTTTATAAATTATCTTTGCAGATCCAATCATTTACTGGACAAACCTTCCAGCAAGTCATTTTTATTTATTCATCTATTCTTGACAATTATTTGATGCTTCAAATTTAGTTGATTTATCTTAAAAAGACTGAGAATCACACATAAATAAAGGTTATATTTTTAAAGACTTGGTTCTTCTTCTTTTTAACTAACTGTTTGTTATATGGTTAAAATTATTTACGTGCTAATCATTAACTATAGAACAATTACTACTACTGTAAGTGTGATGCTATTAATATTATTATTGTTGTTGTTGTTGTTGTTGTTGTTGTTGTTGTTGTTATTATTATACAATATGGTTTCCAAACTAGTAAGAAATTTGACACAAAATCCCAATGAAAAGGCATAAAATATGTTTTGAATGAAATGAATGTATATTATTTTATTGGATATTATAAGTTTAGACTTTTTTCTGCTCCTTTTATTCATGACTCTTTTTAGTTTTTATAAAAGAATTGTTTTGTCTTATATAAACTGTTTTATGAATGAATGAAATAAACTTTAAAACAGAAAGAGACCAAAAAAGTGGCTTAATGGTTAAAATAAACTGTTTTTGTTGTTTTAAATATCACCCAAAGCCCTAAAAACCCCCCACAAAACATAAATAGTGAACGAGCTGCCAGACGCAGTGATGAGACCCCCACTTTGATATTTAGTGAATTGGCCCCTACTACCAGATGTTACGTCTCAAAACGTGGCTTCAGCACTAACGAAGGATTTATTTTGTTTTCTCCTTTCTTTAGAGAGCGGTACCATCAATTCTTTCTCCTAAAGCTCGGGACTTCAGCCTGCCCAACCCCTCCTGGGGGGACGAGATGATGCGTCTGTACAACCACTACAACCAGCAGGGTGGGGTGGATCCAGAGGGAGGAGGAGAGCAGGGGGGCCGCTGGACCAGACTGCCCAGCTACAACCGCTCTCTCAAGTATGCAATAGGTATCGAATGATGAGGAAATATACAAAGATCAAAGTAATCATTAAATGAACTAGTCTTCTGACAGTTTGTACTAAATGACTCACAAAATTCATGAAAACATATCGTATTCATCAATGTATGAAAACATTCAAACAATATGTGTGATCATCATGTTTTTATTAAGATGCTAATAAAACTGCAGATAAACTAAGCTTTGTCCCCAAATTTAGTTGTGTAAACTTTTAATTTAGCGTTAAGTCTCTTAATTCTAGAATTATTAACTGTTAATTAAATATCATTAGACGAATAGTTAAAAGTGTTCTGTTAGTTTTCAGCATGAATAAAGAAGAGGAATTATTAATTGAGTATATTTGTGTGTACGTGTTTCATGGTACTACAGAGACAAATACACACGTTTGTTGATTCACTCCACAAATAACCTGATTGATTTTACCGAGTGAGAATTATTGATTTATTTATGCATTTATTCATTTATCTAATTCATTTACAGCAACAAACAAATCCATCAAAAAGTATATCAATTATTAAAAGTTTTTATTATTAAAAAATAACTTCAGACAAACAACAGCTTAAACAATCTTTAAATATAAGAAATAAAAATCAAAACAATATCAGGAATCCTGTGATTTCTCCTCTAAACTGTTAGAAACAATGATGTGTAATTGTTAGCTGTGCCTGAAGCATTTTTTAAATCTGGTATGTGTTGTTAGCGTCTGAATGTTCTGTTGTGTGTTTTTATTTTTCTCTCCATCAGGTGGAGTTTATCTCAGCAAGATAATCCAGTCTAAAGCTCGTCTTTTTACCAGAAACATCCAACAGGCCGGAGCAGCGTTTGAGTACGTTGTGTTTTATACCAACGACAAACAGAGGTGTGTGTGTGTCCTCCAAGCTGGACATCTGCTGGAGGGGCCGCCAGGGTGAGATATTATTATTATTATTATTGTTATTATTATTATTATTATTATTATTATTGTTGTTGTTGTTGTTGTTGTTATTGTTATTATTATTATTATCATCATCATCATTATCATCATCATCATCATTATTATTATTATTATTATTATTATTATTATTATCATCATCATCATCATCATCATCATCATCATTATTATTATTATTATTATTATCATAGTTATTATATTAGCATTATATTAGCAGAGGACAAACAGGTTAGTCACATGTGACTAACCTGTTTGTCCACGTGGAGGCGGAGCTTAAAAGGCTGAGTTCACCTGAAACTCCTCAGACTGAAGAAGTCTGTTGGAGGAGAGACGAAACGTTTCACAGAAGAAGAACCATCCAGAGGAACTACTGATTTTTTCTACCTGGATCACTGAGCTGCATCAGGACTTACTTTAATCTCAGTTTTCAGCATCAACTGTTCAACATCTGCAAAAACAAGATAAAAAATGTTTTTCAAACTTTATACAACATAAAAGCTAAATGTTATTGTAATAAAGGTGTAATAATTACCACTGTGTGTGTGTGTGTTTGCAGACATGTCCATGGGGGGGCGATAGCCACCATGATTGATACTGTAACAGGAAGTCATGCCTCTCTGCTCTGTGCACCGGTCATGACGGCCAACCTGAACGTGAACTACCGCAGGTACCAAACACCACAGACTGGGTTTGTGTTATTTAGCCTCAGTCTTCTGTTAACTGTAACATATAACTAATGTATTGATGGAAAATGAGGTTTTGAAAAGTTAATTTTGAGGTTGCTGAATGTTTACTGGTTAACTGGTGTCGTTTATTCTGTCGCTGTAAACAAAGAGTGATCTTTAACATGTCATCAGTAAAAGAAAAAGCCCCGTTGACCTTTTTCTTCATGGTGTTGTCCAGCCCCATCCCACTGGGCAGTACGGTTCTGATTGAGTCCACACTGGGTGAGCAGGAAGGCAGGAAGATGTTTGTTTCCTGTAAAATAAGCAGCAGTGATGGCTCTAAACTGCACACAGAGGCAACAGGTGAGCCTTCCTCCTCGTTTTCCTCTCATCAGGTTGAAATCTTACTGTATGTCCTCACAGTGTCTTTGTTTTTTATTCAGCCCTGTTCGTGTCGGTCGGCGTCAGCCATCTTCTGCGAGGATGACCTGAAGCCTGCACTGCCTCCTGCTGGTCAGAGCACAGAGGGTCCAGCTGCCGGTGCTGCTCGGTTTGGATCAAACCTTTTCCAGGTCCTGTTAGAGGAACCTCACTAACATCAACTTTAACCTCTTCTACTAACATCTTACTTCGTTTCAAGTGAGTTTACTTGACTTTGAGCATTCTGAACACAAAACAGATCAAAACTTTATTTATTTGAACTTTGAGAGTGTTTATGCTGCTTACGTTACACAGAACAGTTAGATGTTGTGTCACCTGTGACGATAAAGAACAGGTGATATTAAACAGGAAATACAACAAATCGTTGGTTTCACTTTGCAGTAAAGATGTCTTTATAAAAGATTAAATTTTGCTTTAAGGGGAGTCTCTTAATGAGTTTATAACACTTTGTGAGGCATTATTAAGCATATTTATAAAACACTGAAACAGGCTCACAATTTGACAAATTCAGGTGTTGTATTTTTATTCATTCAGATAAACATCATTCTGACCAGCTGCTCAGCTTACATTTTTAAATAAAATATTATTTTATGTACAAATGCTCATAGTTATTATATGCAGGCAACTTACTGATAAAAGTTTAATCATAAAAAGTTGATAAATTGAAGAATGCAGTTTAATAGTGAGGCTGAGGAGTACAGATAAATGTTTTTATCTAATGCACTATAGCTGCTTATTAAAGGTTTATAAAGTGTTTAAAGCCTCATTAATAACTCTGTTAGAAACATGATTTATGTCATTTATAAGGTTACCTGGAATTTATTCTCTTAATGTGTTATTTTTGTTAAATACATCAAGATTGTGCTTTTTGAAAGCACATCTTAAAGGGGACATATCATAAAAAATCCACTTTTTTAGCCTTTAAATACATTTAGTTGTGTACTGAAAGTGTCAGTTTAGAAAAAATGAATGTAGTTTCTCCTGGTGCTGTGTGGATATCTTTATATTCTGTTTGGATCAGACTTTTTAACCTGTTCAGTTTTCTCCATTACATTTTCTGACCTGTTTGGAAAAGATGTATAAGCTAGGGTTGGGCAATATTGGCAAAAACATTAATCACGATTAATTGTGGTATTTAGACAATAACAATTAATTTGACAATTAATCCCCTGAAGTCTCTGGTAGGGGTGTAAGAAAATATCAATACACTGAAATATTGTGATATTTCATTTCCTGATACTGTATCAATATTCTAAAGCCCTGTTTTGATTTTTTATTAAGGTTTAAAATGTCAACTTTCCTGCCAGCCGTTCATTTTTATGTTGTAGTTCAGCCTCTGACCACTAGTTGGC